CACCTAAGTTAACAGTCCCAAAAGGTGAAGCCAATTGTGATTGGGATTTTAAAGATGATTGCCTTTTGCTTGACACCATATGAGCTTTGGATTTTGATGAGGATCCATATTTTGGTAGAGGAAAAGATGATTTTGATGGCACTGGTGATCCAATGTCAACCTTGTATGACCACTTTCCTTGCACCGACTACATGTCGATCTTCTTCTCTTCACCCTTAGACGGTATACGATCGTGACTTTTGGTCGGCCAGGTAGCCTTCTGTCCATGGCTGGTGGCAAAACTGTTTGTAAGTCATCTGGTATGTCCCACTCAGAAGTATGTGGAATAGGGTAGACAATCTCGGCATAAGTCTTCGATAAACTTCTGTAGTATAGCAATCCATAGCGTATGCGCTTGAATCATCTTGGTTTAAATGAAGAGCAACTTTTATAACATGGCCACCGGATAACCAGATGTTTGCCATTTCATACAACTACACGTCTTGCATTTAGATCGACTAGCCCATTTAAGTTATTATCCAGTACTTGAAACAAAGTGTTTGAACATGGTTCAACTCTCCATGACGTTGACTTCACAACCGTTTCGTTATCTTTTTTTCAGTCCATGGTGTAACACGATGTTCCAATGTTCCTGTAAATTTAAATAAACAATACTTAGTAAAATATATAAATATGATAAGTACGAATTCAAAGAAATAATACCTGCATGGTTTCTTTTCTTGTAGTACCACTGTTGAATAGAGGCTCGAAAAAAACTCCATTAACATAGTAATGGGTAATTTCGGGAATGACGACTTAGAGCGTTGATTGATTCTGCACTATTAGACGTCATGAAACCATATCTTGCTCCAAGTTGATGTACTCTTGACCATCTTTCAAACCGACATCTTCTAGTGTTTGAGCACACTGAGGCAAAACACGTCTTAAACAATTTATATGCTTATTGAAATCCACTTCCGATAAGCTTTTATAGCCTTCCAGTATGTCCATTTGTGCTTTTTTATACCAGCAGACCTTGATTTTAGATTTCTATACAAATGAACACCACAAAGTCCATGAAAAGCATCTGGGAAACACCTTCTAACAACGTTGTCAATTGAGTTTGCCCTATCGGATATGATTGTCAGATTGCTAATAGGACCTATGCAATCCCTAAGATGCCCCATAAACCATGTCCATGAATCAGAGGTTTCAGATTTGCCAACCCCGTAAGCTATTGGCAATATCCCATTGTTAGCATCCATGGCTACTGCTAATAAGTTTACTCCAAGGTATCGACCTTTCAAATGTGCTCCGTCAACTATAATAACTGGGCGCATGCAAGTAATAAACGAACGAATCTACAAAATAATATACACAAGAAAATAATCATTTAAATGTGAAATGCATGTAACTAACAAAAATGAGTCAACAAAATTATATTGATTTACTAACCGTAGCACCAATGGCGATAAACAGCAACTCAAAGTGTCCATCTCTATCTGTTTTGATATGAGTTACCGACCCAGGATTTTTCAGCTTTAAATTGTGACAATAAGCCGGCAGTTGGGCAAACGATGCTTCTGGCGACCCCCTCAACAATTCCAAGGCATAACATTTGGCTCTCCAAGCTTGAGAATATGATATACTAATCTTGAACCGAGCATTCATGTCAGTCATAATTTCATGTCCCCGATATACCCTGCCATTCAAAAACATTAACTCAGCCAGAAAACCACCCAACACCTTTTTGTTTGCCTGTCTATGGTGAGGAAAAACTTGGGTTCTTGAACATGTATGTTTATCAATAAAGTCCTAACTTGAAACATTTCGCAATCTTTTATTCTCTTTGCAATCATACGCCACGTACAGTTTTTGTCAATCATACACCTTGTTTCGAAACGATCTTTGCTTGATTTGTTAACTTTTAGTTGATAGCCATCTTCCACACATTTTGTATACAAAGCTATCTTCAAGTCTTCCTTTGTATCAAAACAATCATCTTTCTTGATACGAATAACTTTTGTGTAACAATCAACTGCTTTCTTTACTAACTCTTCTTCCGGTATCTGAAGTAATTCTGGCATATTCCAATTATACGCCCGTGGCATTTTCTTTTCTTCGGGGACTTTTTCTTCTTCTTTTTCTTCTTCAGGATTATATGAATTACAAAATGGATGTTCAACATGTTCATTCACAGTCGTAACTTCCTCCTCATTATCATCAACAATACATTCTTCGACAACGGCTATTTCATCATCAAAATTCGGGTATTGACCAATATCAAAATCATTACACGCAGGGTCTGTTTCTTCTTCTGAAACATCATCAAAATCCGTGTATTGACCAATATCAAAGTCCGGATATTGACCAAGACCAAATTTCGAATACTGACTAGTACTCACAATTTTTTCTGTTGGCTCATCATCGTCTAACTGGTCAATACGAAAATCGGAATTTGGTGCTGAAAGTTGATTGGGATTTGGATTAGAGAAAGGTTGTGGGTTTTGAGAAAAACTTAGTTGATTACTACCCGCTACTGACCCAACAATACTACTTCTAGGTTCAACAACATACAATGTAACATCATCTTGTGAAACACTAATGTAAGCAATGAATCGTTCAACATCTTCATTGTCGGTTAAAAATAAACTTTACCATTTCTCTGATAAGATAGCCTAAATCCACTTAGGGCTCTAAATTCAATTTATTTGAAACACGTAGCATTAGAGTTTCATAAGTTAACTTTTGTAAAGACAATTTTAGTTGAAGATTCATGGGTAAAGGCATATATTGTAAAACACCATGAACATTATCCCATGACCTCCAAAACACAATCTATCCAAACATGATCAACATTAGATGATTTCATGGTTGTAAATTAATTTACTAAACAGACGAGCTGCGAAACTAAAACCTGTTGCCGGATTGGGAAGGATGTCATTGGATATAGGAACGGATGTCGCCGGAGAGAGTGATAGATGGAGATGGAATGAGTTGCGATTTAGGGATTTAGTTTATGATTTGCTGCTGTTGCGTAGTTATATACCCAAAATTTCAGTGTTGTGATTTACAGATTCTCGTTGCGATTTACGGATTATCGTTGCGATTTACGGATACGCGTTGCGATATACGGATACGCATTGCGATTTACGGATACGCGTTGCTATTTACGGATACACGTTGCGGTTTACGGATACGCGTTGCGATTTATGTGTTCGCGTTGCGATTTTCATATTCGCGTTGCGATTCTGAAAATCGCAATGCGAATTTGTACTATCGCATTGCGATTTTCAAGAATCGCGTTGCGATTTTGGAAACTGATTTGCGATTCTGGGGATCGCGTTGCGATTTTTATTTCGCGTTGCGATTTTGTTGGTCATTTTGGCAAATCCAAAAAAAATTGGTTAAAATCGTATATTATAAGGCATTTTTGGTCACTGAGGCGATTTTCTCTTTAAATTTTTATATATTTTAAGTGTTTCGTTTTTTTGTTTGTTTGCAATCAATGGCAGAACTAAGATGAAATTATGGGAGGGACCAAGTTATTTATCTTTGAAACTGATAAGGTTCTAAAAGGTAATTAAACCACAAAATATAGAGAATCGAGGCTTAATTTCATTAATTTCAAAATTATCATATCCTAAAAAATAATTAAACCAAACAAGTTAGAGGCAATACTTCATTTCATTTGACTTTAAAACTGATAAAATCTTAAAAATTAATCAAACTAGAAAAATTTAAGAGAACAAAGACTTGATTTAATGATTTCAAAATTTTTAAGAGCTTAAAATACAATTAAACCATAAAAGTTAGGGGTATAATCACTCGCATCGTATAGTAAACTAAATTAATTACTATAGAGTTATTTTTATAATTTTATAATTTTTTATAATTTTATAAATTTATCCCATAATATAAAATTTTACCTATATTCATAACTTATATATATATATATATATATATTAAAGGTCTAAAATCACTCGCATCTTATAGTAAACTAAATTAATTACTATAGAGTTATTTTTGTATATATTGATTAGGGGTGTTCAAATTTTCGAACTAATTCGGTTAACCGACCGAACCGAATTAGTTCGGTAGAAATTTTTTAAAATTCGGTTAATGGTTAATTCGGTTCGAAATCGGTTAATTAACCGAATTAACCGAAATTAAATTTTAAATATTAAATATATTAATATAACATATAGGCTTAACCCAAACCATTTAAAACTCAAATAATAATTTAAGATTCAATAACTTTTAAACCTAAATAAATATTAATTAATTAAAAAAATATAATTTTTTTATAATTATATATTATTTAAATTAATTGTAAACTGTTTTTTTGAATTAAAAAAATATTAAATATATTATATATAACATATGGACTAAGCCCAAACTATTTAAAACCCAATTAATAATTTAAGATCTAATAACTTTTAAACTTAAATCAATATTAATTAATTAAAAAATTTATAAAAAAAATTTATTTTATAATTATATATTATTTAAATTAATTATAAACTGTTTTTTTGAATTAAAAAATATTTAATTTTTATATAAATTCGAAAATTTTAAAAAACTCGGTTAATTCGAAAATTAACCTAATTAACCGAATTTTATTCGATTCGGTTAATATTTTCGAAAAAAAATTCGGTTCGATTAACGGTTAAAGAAAAAAAAAATCGATTAATTCGATTAATGGTAATTCGATCGATTCAATCACCGAATTAATCGAATGAACAACTCTAATATTGATTATATAGAAAGATTGTTGTTAAAAGTTTAGTTTAGTATTTGTAATGATATTATATTAAAAATAATTTTACAATTAATGTATAAGAAAATTGAGTAATAAAAATATAAAATAAAAGTAGAAGAAATAATGGTGGGCAAATAGTGTTTTTTAACAATTATGAGCTGCAAAGTGAAAGCGGCTGACAAGTGACAACAAAGCTCTCCTCTTTCCCTCTCCCCCCCCCCCTCTCTCTTCAGTTTTATCATTTCACCATCTCCTTTCTTCTTCGGCTTCAATCTTCATCATCTGAATTTTCTCTCTATTACTCTCCATCCATTTTTTTTTTAAATTCAATCTCCCTCTCTTCTTTGCTTTTTACTCTTTGTAAATTTTTGCAGAGTTCAGCTGTTAATGATTATGCCCTTGTGTTCTGTTCTCTTCTTTCTTTAATTTTCCCAGAGACGAAAGGAGAAAAAAAATCCTAAAATCTCAAAGGGGGGCAGCAGCACTAACTCGAAGGCATACCCTCTCTGCCTTTCAATCTTTCCAGTTGTCTTCTCTTTCTCCTCCCTTTAATATTAAAAACAAATTATTGATTCGTATTTAACATCAACCCATACTTACTGTTTTGTTTAATTTCTCTTTATCCTTTTCAATTATTAGTCCCCCCATTTTGTTAGGTTTAAAGCATCAAAACTGGGGGGGGGGAGCAGATTGGGGTAATACAATTCAACTTACTTCTATACAATACCATTGATGAGGACATGAAGAAGAAGATCTTGATGCATCATTGATAACACACAATAAAGAGGAAGATTATTGTTCTTAATTTTGCCAACCTGCTTCATAGACGACAGAATTAAATTAAAAGGGAGATGCAGCAAGAAGGTGGTGGAGCGCAGCCATCTCAATACGGGAAGATCAGTGGTCCTCCTCCACCGACTGGTCCAGTAAGCGAGGCGTCGGAGCAGTTAGTGGAAGCGGCATCGCCTATAAGCAGTAGACCGCCAGCTGGTGCTGCCAGTGGGAATTTAGATCAGTTCATGAGGCTAGCAAGTTTTGGCGGTGGAGATGAGTTAGGAATAGGGGATCGTGGCGGCGGCGGAGGTGGTGGTGCAAGTGGGAATCGGTGGCCACGTCAAGAGACTCTCGCTCTTCTTAAGATTAGATCAGATATGGACGCTACTTTCCGTGATGCCACCGTCAAGGGCCCTCTTTGGGAAGATGTTTCCAGGTAAAGTAATCATTTTCTTTTCTCTAACTCTAGTTTGGCAAAAACAAAAACTAAAAGTTAAATTCAAAACCACTAAAAATCATCATCATGAATTCATAACAACCATTGCTCTCACTGAAATACTCATGGGAATGTTGTTTTTCTCTTCAGTCTGCTCTTTTTTCCTCTCTCTCTCTCTCTCTCAATCTGCACGCACGCACGCACGCACATGGCTTCTATCTGTTCCCATCACGACTCACGAGCCGGCGGCATCTTCTTTCTTGCAGTTAAGAAATGCCCAGATCCACTGCAACAACTCTTAACCCAATCCTATCTTATTTTATCACTTTGAAAATCCCGAGAGGAATTCTTTAGACGCCATGGAAGGGAGAGCCTCCCGTACTATGTAGCTTCATTCACTGCATCAGTCACCTCTTTTTGTTCTCTCCAGTTTCATATCAATGATAATGGTTGTATCGATTATTAGTGTGGAAAGTAGTCAGTTGGCAACCGTGTAAGTGCATTTTCATAATTTGTCATGCAAAAAAGATGGTTACGAGGCTCCATATTCATTGTTTCATCTGTTTCTTTTCTTGATGCTTAGCATTAATTGACATTAATCAGGCAAAAAGGTTTGCTTCAGATGATTGTCGAATCAATTAATAGCATAGACGATTATGGGAAATGATAATAATATTAATAACGAGGTGGCGTGGCTTGCAGGAAGCTGGCGGAGCTGGGTTACAATAGGAGTGCCAAAAAGTGTAGGGAAAAATTCGAGAATGTACACAAGTACTACAAGCGAACAAAGGAAACTAGAGCTGGACGTCAAGATGGAAAGAGTTATAAGTTTTTCAGCCAGCTAGAGGCTCTTCAAACAACTTCCGCCACCGCTCCTCCCAACGTCACACCTGCCACCGCCGCTACTTCTTCCAGCTTGGACGTCGCTCCCTTTTCAGTTGGGTTCCCTATACCAATTTCTTCCACTATAATTCAACATACAAAGGCTGTACCAATGTCTTCTTCTTTGTTAGCCATTCCTGGATCTGCTCCTTCTCCAGTTCCAATGCAAGTACCGGCGGCAGTACCTCCTGTTGCCACCGCCGCCGCCACCACAGCTGCTCCATTTGGAATTAGCTTCTCTTCCAACAGCTCTACTTTTTCTCGAGGTTTTGATGGCGATGACGACGAAGAAGATGAAGTTGGAGGAGAACCGTCGAGCATGGCTGGCACTAGCCGTAAACGCAAAAGGTCGTCTTCACGAGGGGAAGGGAGTACTACGAGGAGGATGATGGAGTTCTTCGAGGGTCTAATGAAACAGGTCATGCAGAAACAAGAAGCCATGCAGCAGAGGTTTTTGGAGGCCGTAGAGAAGAGAGAGCAAGATAGGACGACAAGAGAAGAAGCTTGGAAAAGACAAGAGATGGCAAGGTTATCTCGCGAACATGAACTCATGGCTCAAGAACGTGCCATTGCTGCTTCAAGGGATGCTGCCATTATTTCCCTTTTGCAGAAGATTACTGGTCAGACCATACAGTTACCTACAACTGTTACTATCCCCGCTGCTCCACCCCCGCCTCCCACCGTTTCCGTAATTCGACCAGAGGCCCCTATTCCTAAATCAGCTCCACCGTCGCGTCAGCCATCGTCATTACCGCAGCAACAACAACCACCTTCATATACATTGCACAATCAACTACACCAGCAGCAGCTACAACTTGTTCAACAGCAGCCCCATCAACTTGGAAATATTGAAGTTGCGAGCCATCAACAACAGCCAATTTCTTCTGAAGTAGTAATGGCGATCCCAGAACAGCAGGTTCCACCACAGGAGATCGGTGGGAGCGGGAGAATGGAGCCTGCCTCGTCTAGATGGCCTAAAGCTGAAGTTCTTGAACTTATAAACCTGAGGAGTGGGCTTGAAGCCAGGTACCAGGAGGTTGGGCCAAAAGGCCCCCTTTGGGAAGAAATCTCCACTGGTATGTCCAGGATGGGGTACAGGAGAAGCGCCAAAAGATGCAAGGAAAAATGGGAGAACATCAACAAGTACTTCAAAAAGGTCAAAGAAAGTAGCAAAAAACGTCCCGACGATGCCAAAACCTGTCCCTATTTTCACCAGCTCGATACCCTTGACCGTAAGAAAATACTTGGAGGTGGGACTAGCAGTGGTAGCTTTAGTGACCACAACAGAGCTGAAGAAGAAACGTCAGGGCAGCATCAGGACCTCCCACCAAGCACGGCAGCCCTGCCACAAGCTGAAAACGAAACCGGACCTACTGCTGATGTGGTGACAAGCAAAGATGGTTTACCTGGTGGAGATGCAAAGAAGGTAAATTTATTTTACTTACCAGCTTCTTTATATTCATTAGTCACGACTGAATTTCGATAAAGCAATTTACCTGATGCGTATTAACGAATAGTTGGGTTGGTATTGAAGCCAGAAGACATTGTGAAGGAGCTGATGGAGGAGCCAGGGCACCATCAGGGACAATCCTTGTTGGTGGATGGGTATGACAAGATTGAAGAAGCTGATAGCGATAATATGGATGATGAGGTAGATGAAGATGAAGAAATGGAAGAAGAGCAAAAGATGGGTTATAAGATAGAATTTCAGAGACAGAATTCAAGTGCTGCCAATGGAGGAGGGAACGGAGCAGGGGCACCCTCCTTTTTTACCATGGTTCAATAACACCTCGCAAGAGAAAATGTTCCATATGTACCCATGTGTGCATAAAAGAAACACCTTCTACTTGTATCTTCAACAGCTAGCTTCCAGTTATTCCCCCCCCCCCCACTTCTCTCAGTCCTTAAACTTCCTTTCAAATACAAACCTTGAATAAATCTGTATCACCTTCTTCATAATCCTCATTGTTTTCTTCAAAGTAGCAGATATTGGCAGGCGCAATTGCAGTTGGATTATGGTCCAATTTATTGATTTGTTGGTGAATAAGGAATTCCGTTTCGAAGGAATGCGGGATGAATGATTGTATTGAGACAGAAGAAATAAGCCTTGGGTGGATACCAGCAGCAGCCCCCCAAAACAAACAAAGCAAAAGCATAGAGAGATTGAAAAAGAGTGGGAGATTAGGCTAAAGCATGCAGTGCAGAGTTTGACAGACCTCTCCTAGTTGTTTTGTTTGAGTTAAGAAATTAATGTAAGAATCATATCAATTGTTTATTGCAGAGTTTTATTCTTAGGAATTCTTTCCTTTTTCATCAAATTCTTGATTTTGTATCCATATTTTAGCGCTTACCATTGTTATGATAATGTCATACAACAAGTAGTGATGGAAGCAGGTTGTAGTTTTTAGTAGGGCTGAGAAGGAAACTGTGAAAATCGAAATACCGATCTGAACCACATTATGCGGTTCAATTTGGTTCGTTTTCGTTCTGTTTATGTTTGGTTTAGACATTTAATTTTATAATTCGGTTTAGTTTTAGTTTTTCCATATGAAATCATTTACTCCAAAACAAAAAGAGTTAAAAAATAATGATAAAACTAATAATATTATTTTTTGTGAATTTAAACTTGTGTGTTAGCATTCGATTCAAGCTTAAAATTTGATGTTTTGAATGTTGAGCTTTGAAAAATAGTGAATATTTAGAAACCGTAAAACCAAAGCGAACTAAAAATGATTATTTTTATGTTATTTGGTTTACTTTTAGGAAAAAAGTATAATATAATTTATTTCATATTTTATCAAGAAATTAAATTGAATTTATCTGAATACACCCTTGATTTTTAGGTATGGGATAAAGCGTATTGTTGCTTTAATCCATTTTCATCCCTAATGAACCATCAACCGTATGATCCTTTAATAGACAGCCTATTAACAGTTTTTATATATTTAGATATATGATCTTATGTATTTTTTAAATAGATATATAATTGTAATAAAAAATGTAAACAGACAAACGTAACGAACTGAAAGAAACTCTAATAACCAACACCTACTATGCATTAATAAGAATCATAAATAATTTGGGATGGGAAGGTGGGGGCCAATTGCACTGCTCATCTTTCTCGATTGTCAACACAAATTACAAATAATAACAAAACAAAAAAAAAAAACCCACATTTTCTCTACTATTTAAAACGGTCATATTTATTTTTTCTAAATACTTTAGAGTAATTATAGATTAATATTTATTTAAAAATATTAATTATTAACACTATATATATATATCAACAGAACGTAATTATTTGAATTAGTGACTTTTAAGGAGAATAATATATTTTTAATCATTTTTAAAAGATGATAGATTTTAATCGTTAAAGGTGTAAATTTAGAAATAGATTTAGAAAATTCAAATTGTAATGTTAATTTTTTAAAAAAATTATAAAGAGAATTTTTTAGGAGACTGGAAATTAACAGTGGGTATCAATTTTCTTTAAGGAGTATTAATTATTTTTAAAGTGATGTTAATATTAATTACTCTTTCTCTCTTTTTCTTTTTGTGCCCTTTTTTCTTGGTTTTTTTATATTTTTTATTATCGACGGGATATAAATAAATAAGACCTAATAAATAATTAAGAAAAACTGATCTGCTATTAATATGAGTTGTCCTTTTTTCTTTCCTTCTTCGGGTACAACCCGTGTATGTTCACGTCCAAGAAATAGGCAATTTTCTCAATAAATTATCGGTGATCGGTATATTTATCGATCTAACATCGATCAGATTATATTTCTCGATCTAACACCCGTAGCAGTAAAGCGCGCCCCTGAATCGCATTATACGCTGATTTGACACCACGTGGGTATAGCGCGCCCCCTGACCCGCGATATACGGTGATCTGACGCCACGTGGGTATAGCGCATCTCCTGATCCGCGCTATACCAGGGTATCTGACACGTGGGTATAGCGCGGTGCAGGGGGCGCGCTATACCCCTAAATACCCAACCCTTCACGTCCCCATCCTCTCTATAAATACTCCAATCCTTAATCACTATTATCACACCAAATTCTCTCAAATTCTCTAAATTTCTCTCAAATACTCTATCTTTTTAAGGTATATTTTATAATATTTTACTATTATGTATTTACTTTATTTAATATTTTACTAATATAATTCTTTTACAGATATATAATGGAATGCAATCTACTTCGCTCGGATGGAAATCATATATCTCTATACTTTGCTGATACGGTAACATTTTAACGTTTTAATTTAATTTAAATTATTAGTAATATTTAGTTGATTTATTTAATGCATGATTATTAGATTAAGAATTAAATATCTCGACACTTTGCTGATACGGTAACATTTTAACGTTTTAATTTAATTTAAATTATTAGTAATAATTAGTTGATTTATTTAATGCATGATTATTAGATTAAGAATTAATTTTTGTAATTATTTATTTTTAGGAGAAGGACCGTGTATTAGATCCTTTTATTAGAAATCTTAAGTTAGTGATACACAGTCGTGTCTTGCCGTATTTAGTAGAGGTTGGATTCAGTTACATAGGTAGATATTAAGGTCACTGTAAGATAGAGCCAGACCTGATTTCTACCTTAGTAGAGCGGTGGAGGCCGGAGACCCACACATTCCATCTTCCGTGCGGAGAGTGCACGATCACGCTTGAGAATGTTTCTATGCACCTGGGGCTTCTGGTGGATGGAGATGTGATATCAGGGATAGCTTCCGGTTCTTGGACTACTTTGTGTCGTGATAGTCTAGGACGTGTCCCGGAAAGTTTTATCGGAGGTAGGATACCGTTAAATTGGTTAGATGCCAATTTATCGGATGTATGCACGGGCATGCATACTGCAGCTGATAGGAGGGTTGCTGATGCCGGACAAATCGCGTAACCTAGTTCACTGCATGTGGTTGCAACATCTTAGCGACTTTTGTCTCGTCGGATCATTCAGTTGAGGCTCGGCAGTTTTGGCTTTTCTGTACAGGGAGATGTGTGGAGCCACTAACTACAGACGTAATGCTATCGGCGGATGTCTCCTGCTGCTGCAGTCTTGGGCATGGTATCGATTGCCCTTTTTATGTCCCGTTGTGAAGAACCCATTCGTATTTCCACTACTTTTGAGGTAATTATAAAACTGATTTTGTATATTAATAATTTTATACAGCGTATAAATTTTTTTTTTCCTTGAATAGGTGGTCTACTGATAGGAAAAATCATCAGGAGCTACCTGATGATTTAGAAAAAAATTAGGGTGCTAATCGATCAGAAGGCTGGCACACATGTATAAATTTTAATGTTTAAAAATCGATTTTAGATTATAGTTATATAATTAGATTATTATTTTGATAAAAAATATATATATTATTTGTTTTAGTTTGAATGGGTGCCACATTCTACTGATGATGTGAGGGCGGTGATCCCACCTGAGTTGAGGGGTCCATCAGATGTTTGGATGGCGATGGTCCCTCTGATCTGTTATGCGATCCGTCGAGTGGCACTCCACTGATCGCGTGCTCCGACAGTTTGGTTGTTTTCAACCAATTCCGAAAGCACCTCGCAATATGGACGAGTTGCATAGCTTAGATAGACGCGGTAAGACAGATACAGATTGGCTGGTGAGGCATCATGGGTGGGTCGTATTGTAGGAGGATTGACATCGGCGCCTTCCCCGTAGAGAGCCCATTTTTTATGACCTCTTGATATATGCTGAGGATTATTATGAGTGGTCAATAGTATCAGTAAACCGTTTCTACTTCACGAGGATGCACGAGGGCAGACCTTTCCACGATATCGACAGAGACGTTCATCGACACAACACCATCATCCCCCGACTCGTGGACGGAGAGCAGGTGCTTCCGGTTCATCCTCAGCTGCACCAGCAGGACCTTTCCAACAGCCACCGCAGCCATATATGATGCCGCCATCGCCTTTCCATTACCAGATGCCGCCGCCTTCACCTGGTTTTATGACCCCCTCCACCGCCACCGTCATAGATGACCCCTCATGGAGGTTATTATTAGTTTGATAAAATTTAATGATTGTGTTCGGTTTTTTTAATCTTCATCAGCGATTATCGAATGACATTAACTTGAAATAAATGCAAATTAAAATACAAGAATTATTATTTGATAAACAAATACATCATTTCCTCATCAATTGTTACTTGATGACAACAGAAGTGGACATGTTTTTCTAGTGTGTCCTGGGTTTCTAAAATGGCCACATCTTCTGTCTTGTCTATATCTTTCTCGAATATCCATATCGCAATGAATTCGATTGGATTTTGGACGACCACGCTCCCTCAATAAACTCGGATTTGGTACAATCGAAAGCCAATCTTGAACTTCATCAGGGTCTTTGTCATTACCTATGGGGGAAAACTCAAATTCGTATACCTTAAAAACTTCAGATAGTAGGTATACGGGATCCACAAAATGGTTATAGTCTTGACGTGTATGCGAGCAAGCTGCTATCACATGAGAGCATGGATACTTCAGAGCTTGAAAAAACCCGCAGTCGCAGGTTCTGTCCCTTAGATTTACTCTTAACGACACAGCTTCAATCCCTTGAAGTGGTCGCGGTAACTCTGTGACACGAAACATTTCATGCCTTCTAGAGAAGCTTGTTACAGACATTCCATTTGATGCAGCAATTTTTTTTATGTAGATCTGCAACTAATCTAGGGTGATAGACATGACCGCCTTGCATCCAGGTTTGAGCTTGTCCCCCGAGCTTCGCAAAAAGTGCCCCCAAACAATAGTTTTTACCAAAGCCACTACAGGTAAGTGACGTGCACCCTTTAAGGTTGAATTGATTGCCTCAGCCAAGTTGGTCGGCATGTGTCCATATCGATATCCACCATCATATGCGTTCGTCCACATTTCTTTATCGATGAGGCTGATGTAATCGTATCCTTCCTCGTTCTTCGCCCGCAAATCTTGAAGCATTGATTCAAACGTTCGAGGAAGTAGTTCGTAACCTGATCAAAAATTGTATAACTTACTAACTTGCTTTCACTTGCCCATGCGCACAATTAATTGATGCTCATAATTCTTCTTGTACCTTCCATGATAGTTCGCAGCAATGTGTCAGAGACAATACCTATGTTGGACAAAGGGTGGTTGCCACATTGGACCTAAAAACTCCATTACTGCTTTGATCCCAGCTCCGCGATCTGAAATGACAGAGATTTTTTCCCTCGTGATAACATGTGCACGTAAATTTCGGAGGAAAAAAGCCCAAGAATCTGTATCTTCTCCTTCGACAAGAGCAAAA